CTTACATCTTCATTTTTCTATTTTTTTTAAAATTATTGTAATTGATTTACCAATTTCTTCTATAAACTGTTCTTAAGAATTTGTTAGAAATGTAAAAACTGCGAAAAAAAAAACAAATTAATGAAAAACGAATTATTTTATGCAGAAATATTCCGGTTCTGTTTTGAAGTGGTACAAAGTACAGTAAAGAAAAAACTTGTAAAACTGGGTTATTTATGTTTTGATGTTTCTCTTCATTGGAGTATATATTATGCAGTGACGTTATTCCTTAAAACATCGGCAAATCGTTGACTGCGAACGGTTAGTGTCACACTGACACTTACTGCTAACCAAAACTAAGCTAGTTTTAAAGCGAAATTTGGCTTTCTGTATCTTTAAATCTTGCTTTAAAAAGAGTTGCTTGGCTTTTTATTACCTTTACTAAAGTTTCTGAAAAACTATTCGGACTTTTTTTTCTCGTTTTACAACTGACAAGCCAGAAATTTTTGCTAAACTGCAAAAGAAAAGATTATATTTTCCAGCAACGATAAATAACTGCTAAAAGAAGTTATTTTCTTTTTCAAATACATGTTTGTAATTCAAAAAATTCTTGTTTTTTAAATATTATTGATCGGTGCAGTAGTATGTGTATATGTGCTAACGTTGTAAAAAAGCGAAATATTATAATTATGAATACAGTAGCAAAACAATTAGATTTTTTTAAATTCACTTTCTATCCATTTTAAACGTTTATGCGTTATGCTATCGCATTGTCTGGTGGTTAACAGATATATGATTTGAACTTAATTTAATCTCAGTTTTGTTAATTGTGTAAAGCAGGACGATTACAATTGATGAATCTTAAGAATTACTAAGTTACAGCGCAAGGTTCTGTTGGGACAGGTATTCGCATAGGAATAGGAATACTCGGCTTGTTTTAGCGCCTTATAGGGCAGTTAAGCAGTAGAGCCGCATACGAAGTTCTATAGTTTAAAATTTTTACCATTTCTACTTTTATTTCTGGCTGAAAAAAAAAATTTTTTTTTGAAGACATAGTTTTAACAATAAAAAAAAGGTTTAAAGAAAATATGATTTCTGAGAAGAAAAGGAGAAACCGTGTTTCGTTCTCCACGAATTTCTGCTACACTGTTGACTACTTCTGACAAAGGAAGCATTCTTAGAACGTCAAACGAATATAAGAATAAATAAACTAAAGCTTCTGTTAATCGCCTTATTCGTTTGCTATTGCTCAACCAAGTCAAAGAGTGAAAAAAATTTGAAAAAAAACTCAACTTTTTCAGAAAAATCGAAAAAATCACAAATATTTTTTGAATAGCTGTTTTTTTCCTTTTACCACTCTAAGCAGCAGTTTTAGGCAGTCTTCTGGTGATAAGTCGTGCGTTCCAGCTAAAAATTTTTCTTACAGTTATACTTCTCCTATCTTCAGAACTTGATTGTAGCCTCTGTCTTAAAACTCTTCAGCAGTATTTATAAACTGCAGTATTTTGAACCTCTTTCTCTCGCAACATTTTACAGAAAAATTTTGCGGTCGCATGTTTAATTTGTCGTCTTAAAATCAGTAGACAGTTTATTTTGTTTCTAAATTCATTCTTGTTAATTTGGTAAGCATGTGTTTGACGTCGATAGATCACTAAAAGTAGCATGAGAGCTTCATCTGCAACCATTATTACTTCAGTCTGCTTTCATGGTTTTTATACAAAGAGACTGAATAAAAAACATGTGAACATTGAGAAAGCAAAGTTCTCTTCTTAAACGATAAAATGCAGAAGAAAGTGATGGCTAACTGTAATGCTTTGTATTAAGTTCCTAAAAATATTTTCTATGTATCTGAAAAATGAATAAGTGTAGCTACTCAACAATGCTAATTTCTCAACTGAATGATTATGAATGGTGTGTAGTCTATAAGAAATTTTTAACAGACAATGGCTGTCAATTATTATCATATTTTTGGGCAAAATAAAGTTACTGCTAAAATAAATGAATTATCGAAATAAATGGAATATTTTGATGTTAAAATGAAATCATTCTTCTGAAAAATTACCAGTAGTTAACTTACAAAATTACAAACTAAAAAATAAAAGTAAAAATTTTTGAAAAAGTATGCAGAGAGAGATGTTTCAGAGACATCAGTGTGAAAATTTGGTCTGAATTTAAAAATGCGCTGCATACCTGGTTTGAATCCGTTGTATCAGGTGCTTTACAACAGCCAGTTAGTAAGACTTTAAGAAAGAATAAAGTAGATAGCCTAACCAGTTATTTTACTTCATTTTCTTCATTTATTTGTAAATTTATTTTTAAAAAGAAGCTTTTTGGTTGTGATTTTACACCTGTAACATTGTTACAGTGTTCTGTTGCTAATTAGTGAAAAATTTTTGAAATATTAAGAGCTATTAATATTGCTTTTTTAAGAAAGCAGTTTTAACACAAATATTTTCATTTTTTTAGGCTTTTTTTTTTTTTTGCTTTTCGTACTTGATGATGTTTAACGAATTAAGAAACTAATTAAAACATAAAAAAACGTAAAAATCGTACATTTTTAAGGCTAGTTTTTTATACAAGTATAAGTAACTTTTAAACTGATAATCCCATAATAAATGATTAATAAATATTGAAAAAGTGGTTTTGGAGAAATAAATCAGGTTTTAATAACGCGTTAGCATAACTTAATACATGTTATTATGTTATAATTATTGCTGACTGAAAAAACTGAAAATAATAAAGCTGGAAAAGTTAACATTTGACAAACACATAATATTATATGCTCAAAAATATATATAAGTAAAAATCATGTGAAGTACGATTTTTGTAGCAACAACTGCGCTTTTTATCATCAAAATTTCAAATTGCAGTTGGAAGAACAATGTGAAGCAAATTTCTGTGTTTTTGTGTTGATGATAAGAACGGCTAATTGAAATTTGAGCGTTGAAACAAAGTATTAGAAAAAAAGTAAATCGGGAGTAAATAACTGATACTAAAAACCTCATAAACAATTACTAATAATTCAGAAAAAGTTTTTTAGACACTTTAAAACCAAATAAAGCAGCAAATTTTTATACAAACCTAAATCAAGCTTTTCGTAAAATTACTTCTTTGTAATTGCAATTTATTAACATTGTAATTAACTTCTAAAGACATTTTAGGCCTCAACGAGAAGGTTGCTTAAATTTTAGAGATCCTTTCTGATATAAAAATTTAACAAACAAATTTTTAACAAGTGAAGAAAGTTGCAAGTTGTCGACATAATGATAAGAACAAAAAGGTAAAAATTCTGAAGAAAAGACGTTTGTTTTGAAATAGCTTTTGAAAGTTCTGTACACCTTTAATTGATGTCAAATTAATTTTCTTTTTTAAATTATAGAGAACTTTTTTTACAAGGTTTTTGCGTTGTTAACAACTACTTAAAACCATAATTTCATTCCGCTTTATCGTATATATTCATACTGGCAGTAAAATTTACCTGTTTCTGTTTTGTTTTGTCAGAGTTCTTTTAAAAAAAAATACATAAGTATTTTCTTGAAATTACCAAGCAAAATGGCTGTGCTAAATGAATTAATCAGTCACTATTAACAGTTTATACAGTAACAGAGAGGTGTTTTTTACGTTACATTTAATTTTCTAGTTTTTCGGTGACTGTCGCTTCAACAATTCCGTGAAATGTAGCAGTTCTAAAATGACAAAACAGTTTTTACAGCCAATTTTTACTTCTTCAAATTTTTCTGTGGTACAGATCCTAATAAAGCTTTTAAAAGATTAAAAAAAAAAATTTGAAGAATTATTTGGCTGTATGTTGGTATTTGGTAGTAGTTACAGCAGTGAAACCTATTCGAAGACAATACACTGTATCCAGTTTTTAAACATTTAATGACTATTGTCAAGTATTGATGTATAACCAACTACTTCTTTATGTTTTTTTTTTTTTTTTGGTTTTATACCACCTCCATCAGGATCTATCACATGAAAAACCTAGGACAGTAACAACTGACTGTAAAGATTGTATGTCAGTTTTCCTTTCTTTGACCAATTGCCAGCATTTCTTCCGGTTGAAAGTCTAAGCTGTTGAAAACAAGTTAAAAGAACTATAGCATTTTTTTTTATAATTTTGTAACAGAAAAAATGTTTTTCTACAGTAAACATATGCGAATTAAAAAACCTTCATTTAATGGTTGGCATAACGATGACAAAGAAAACTGTTCACATGTTTTGCAGTGGCCACTTTATTTTAAAGTTAGAGTTTACTTTTTTATAACTTTTTAAAAAACATTAAAACTTTCTGTTCTTTTTAAAATTTTTGCTTCATTGTCTTTTATAAATAAAACACTTTCAGCTTCTTTATCATTCTTTCCTCTTACCACTGCTTTTGCTACAGCTATTACAGAAAAAAAAAGTTTATCGTTGTGTATCCTTTTAAATCTGGATTGTTCATCTGAGGTTTTGCTAAGAAAATAATGAGAAAATATTATTTTTAAGGTGTCACTGACAACAGTTTTACTGTTAAAACAAACCTGTAACAGAAGTGTTATTTGGTAAACTTTCCAACGTTTTCTGTTCCTTAGTAATGCAGTTCATCAACATTTTTTTAGGATACTGTTGTTTCAATCCTTACAAAACCTGCAACCAAACGTTTTACGTTTCTTCTTTTAACATATTGAGCTGCTCATTTATTTCAAATTTCTGCAGAATGTCGTAGATGTTTAAAAACAGCGCAAAACAAAAATCAGTAACCTTTACCAGCAGTGATTTTTTTTTTTTGTTTTCGCCTTTCTTCTTTTTCTGCCTTACCAGTTTTTAGACAGGCGACTTAAGGCCAGTCGTCTTTGACAAGTCGGTGTTCATAGTTACTTTAAAAGTTTGATTTACATTATAATTTGGTAATTCAGCATTCAACTAAACCGGAGTATTTTTGCTGCTTTTGTTGTTGTTTTAGGTGTTACTGCTGCTGCTACTGCAGTTTTTGTTTTGGTTATAATTGTTCTTGTTTTGTTCTTCAGAATTTCGAAGAAATGATCGCACGAATCCTTTGCGTGATCGCTGTATACAGCATATTACCAACGTATTCGACTCCGGCGAAAGATATGCTCGCTGAGGTAAACAGCTAAACTTTTTTTTTCTCCTTTTCCAAACTCACAGTTTCAGTGTAGTCTTTCCCAATTTATCTAAAATTTCAATATCAGTTAACGGTAGCTGCTAAATGAGCTTAATTTTTAAAGATTTGATAGTCCAAAACAATTCAAATTACTTTTAAAAACCAAGTGTCGAGTAAATACACAATAATTTTTGGTGAAAAATTACATAAGAAATTGTATTGTAATATTGTCGTAAAAGTTCAGGAATACAAATAACACATCGGATTTTAGCTTTCAAATGCCGGACGAAAAATAATGGAACAGTCGGCTATACCAGGAGCTACTATACGACAGTGTTCATGCCAGGAACAGACTACATGCATCAACGAGATTCGGAGTCAAGCCAGTCAGTGCTTCGACTCATGCTGGGACCGTTTGAAAACGGTAATTTTTTTCTGCAAGGCTCTTAATTGATATTTACCAATCTTTTATTGGTAATTATAAGACAGCTATCGTTGATTGAAACAAAAGTGAATATTCTTCAATATATTTTAAAAAAATTCAAAAAAATTACTGATCAGAAAGTTTTTTTATACGTATATCAAAGTTAGTTGTTTAAAAAGATGACGTAAATAAATTTTTGAATGTTATTACTGTTATTGCAGTCAGCTTATTAAAAAAGTGTGTTTAATTAATAGGTAGTTTTTTCGTAATTTCTTTGAATGATAAAATTCTTTGTAAAAGTACTTTTAAAAATTAAAAAAGTTTAACAAAAAAGCTGTATACTGCATAGAAATGAACAGTAAAAAAAGATTTATTTTTTCAATTATTCTTGATCAATATTTACAGTTAAACAATTCAAGCTGCATTGAATGAATTAATTATTTAAACTTGGTGATAAAGACAAGTGAAAATTATTATTACGTTAAATTTATTAGATACCTAAAATAAGCATTTCTTTTTCTATCTACAGATTACGAACAATCCGACAGGTCTTCGACAATGCGTATCTGATCAAAATCCGCTAATTTCTCAATTCCTTTCCTGCGTTGACAAGCAGTTACATTCGTAAGTTTCTTTAAACATTCACTCTATGTGTTCTTTTCAGTTATTTTTTTGTACTTTATGCTTTCTGACCTGACTTCAAAAGTGACAAAAGAAAGCAAAATAAATGAATTGATAAAGGGAAGGAAATGAATCGTTTATTACAGAATCCATGAACAATGTGTGAGCTAAAATTTGTTTTTGGTTTATTACATCAAAAACATCACTTTTTTTTCCTGCGTATTTTGCTCACAGCCTTCGCCTAAAATGTGTTTGTTGCATTGATTTTTTTTTTTTTTTTTTTTGTCATTACAGAAGTGTGTATATCAAAAATGAATTCACTGAATGTAATGAAACACCGACACTTTTGCTATTTCCACTCTTATGTTTTCCTTCATTTCTTATTTCAAAAAAAAAAAAAGTTTAAAAAATTTTAACAGAAGCAAAAAAAATTTTTAAAGATTTTTTTGAAGAAAATTAACTTTATCTCTTTTAGAAATGTGTAATTAAAAACAACTCATAGCTTATTTGAGATCTTTGTTTTATTTTCTTTGTAAATTTTCAGCATTTGTTTTTTGATTTAATAGTGTCTTTTTTTGTTACTGTTGTTGCTTTTACGCAAAAAATGTACTTTCTTCTTGGTTTTTTTGTTTGCCATTTATTATCTTTAGAATAGTGGTTTCCTAGATAACGAGTGATATTGCAGTTGTTGGCCTGATCGTAATGGCCCGCAGATTCAGAAACAAGATCTTGCAAAGTTTATTCGACTTAGTGAAGAGAAATTGGAATCGTCCAAAAATGCTTTGCTCAACAATCCATCAATAAAACCCATTCAGAAACTGCTGGGCGCAGCTATCAACTTTGGATACTGCGTCAAAGACTGTTTTGTAGGGAAGAATGCAGGAGGATTCTGCTTTGACCGACTTAAGTACGTTTAATTAGACTCTTTATTGATGTTTGTCAATGAGTAAATCAAAAGTAACATTTCAAAGACTAACAGTTTTGTCTTAGTACTTTTATACTGTTTAAGTAACTTATTGAAGCATGGATTATCAAAACAGCACTTAATCATAGAAAATTTTTCTAAACTTTTCAATTTCCTGATTGGTTATAGGTGCCAACCACTGATAAATGAAGACCGTGCTCGCAAGTCACTGAAAAAGTGTTTGAAAACTGTGGATTGGAAGTCTAGAGCAAGCGAATTCTGCGAGTGCTCATTGAAAGCTGGTGTCACGTAAGCAATTAGCAGATTTGAACTAGTCATTTAAAAAATAGAAACAAAAATCTCCTGGATTATACGGTTGAAAAAATGGAAATAGAAGCCAAAAAAAAAGTTGTAAAAGTATACTAATGGTTTTAGTGAACTGCGTAATTATTGTCCAATCTTACAAGTAATGGCTAAAAAGAAGCGGCCAGAACAGTAACTGTAATCGACAATCAACTACACTTATCAAAAATAATGTCCAGCAGAAAAATAACGTTTTACAATCGTATACATTGGTATAAATTTGTATTGACGCACCTAACCTATTACCTTTACGCATTGCTTTTCTTATAAATGTAAGACCAAGTTTGCTCTTCTGCAGTTGTATTTCGCTAAAGTACCTAATGATTACTAAATTTCTCAACCAATTTTAGAAAATCGTTTTTTTTTTTATTTGTGTTTGTAAAAATTTCAGATTCAAAGACGCTTTTGCCTATCTTTGCTTTATTTATAACTATAGAAGAACCAGGTTACAGATAGTGTATTATTGAAAGACAACAAGTATAGATGAATAGTATTGTAAATAAATCTTGTAATCTTACTCTGTTTTTCTAGGTACCATTTCTACACTATTTTTGAGTCTAATTTTGCTTTTTTTGGATCTCGCTGATTTTGCGACATTTCTTCGTTATTTCAAACATATTCTCTGTATTTACAAATAGCATTTACTACATGTTAAGGTCTTAGCATGTCTTATTTTAGCTCCCGTATTTCAAAACTTTTTCCCAATGACAATGAGAAGTCCAGTTGTAGTGCTATAAAGTGTTACTATAAACTATTATTTGTGCAGAGGTCATTAGTTATTGCCGAATAAAAAGTCGGGTTTTGCAAATATTGGTCGATTAGTAGCGTATCTGTTCAGCACAAACAAAATTTTAAAAAGAGGATTTTTAGTAACTGTTTGAAAAAATTTTTGCTATTATCCTAACGCATGCAAAAAAAGATAAAACTTATACCATAAAACTTTGTACACTTCTAAAACAGAAGCCTATTACAGCCGTAATGCTTTGAAGAGGAAAAAGGACTTTGCTTTGTTTATCCCTAAAAAACCAAAAACTTTAAACGTCTCAAAACTTAGAGATGCATAATCTTTCGAATTCTTTGCTAATAAAAAACAATGAAAAAATTTAAGAATGAATGTGTAGAGCAACGTAAACAAGTTTTCTATATACCAAACTTTTCCTAGAAAACTAAAATACATTAAAGAGAAGAAATGATTTGGATACTTCAGCCGACAAAGCTATCAACAGACGATGCAGAACAATAAGCACTATATTGTTATAGACTGCTTTTGCCTGACTTTGGAGTTTGAATAAAAACACTGTAACCGTATTTGCCTGGAAATTAAATCCTTGAATGTATTCCTGGAATTTGCCACAGTTATTGTCTAATAACGAAGAAGTTAAAGCTTGATCACTTAGGTTCAGATTGCCATTGGCCATATTTGGCTGAGCCAAAAAGTAATCTTAGTAAGTGAACCTACACCACAACCACATTCGCTGTCATGATGTACCTTCAGCTTGTAGATTTAGCATTTTGTTGATAATGCTCTTATTGGTTTTTTTCTGTTCTTTACAACACTTTTAGTTTCTTAAGTGTTATTGAAATTTGTGAATAATTTGAGTTGCAGATGTTAACAGTGCAGTAATCACTGAAATTAGTAATATTTTTTGACCTATAAAACCGAAGAGTAAGCTGAAGAAAATAACACAGAAACTTTATTCAACCGGCAGATATTTAAAACGCAAAATTATTTGCAATCATATAAAAAAAACCATTTGGTCAATTTCACTCTGAATAATGATTTTGCAGTAAATCAGAGGTGAAACAGGAGAAATTACAACGTTGCTACCCGCAGAGTAGTGAGTAGACTTAGAGGAACATTTTTACCACAAATACTTGGATTAAAAGATTACTTCTCCTTGATACATACTTCGTATTAAAATCATATGGCGCGTCTCTGCGGTAATACGAGTTACATTTTGATTAGTAAGATCAGGCAACAAAAAATCTTTATTTGACGCAACTTTTTGGCATTTCTGTAAGTAACGCCATTCTGATTTTAACCAAAATATTGCTTTCCTTATATTTTAACCAAATGCTTTAGTATACCTAACCTAGTAGCAAGCACTGACGAAAAAATTCCATACTGCTGAATAACTCAGAAATCTTTTTCTGGAAAGAATTACTGTAGTAATTACTTTTTAGATTCGTGTTGCTCTGCTTCATCACTAAAATCTTTCAACCCGAATATTAATCAAATAATGCTGGTTGTTAACACAAAACTTTTTTACCCGTAATCTTTTATCAGAGTAGACCTGCTTGTCGCAACTACCGACAACTCTTTTAATTGAGGAACAAACTGATTCCTTATAGCGTTTCTAATGAGATCCGAATCCTTAAGTTAAAACTCAGATGCTACAAGCGGTTGTAGTTTTCAACGCTTGCTAGCTAGCTAGAGGGATATACTGTAACAATCTTGAATAAGTTACTATGGGCGAATTCAATCCTAATTTCCACTGGGCGGGAGAACGCTTTTGGCTGGAACGATTCCAGCGGAACTGGCAGTGCGCCACCACGCTATATTGAGGCACCCGGAAGATACCGAAGAGACTCCGGGAAAAGTGCCTCAAACTTTTTTGTCAATTGTGTATATCAA